GAACCAGGGAATTGATCCTGGCAAAGATTTACACAGCTCACCATTTTGGGGACCCAAACAATCTCCTTTTTCAAAAGAAACTGTTGGGAGGGGGTACCTTTTATGCTAATGAGCTGGGCAGAAATTCTCATTTGAATTAATGTACTGCACCCTTGAGACTCTCCGGGGAAACTTGACTGTTCTTGCAGGCCCGTTTGCTTGTGTACAAAACAAATGCCATTCATTCCATGGGCTTTTGCCGCCAGTTATCAATCATCCTGTCATTGTTCAGTGTTATATATTAATGTATTTTTGAAAAAAACTGTCATGTTGAGCTAAGATCTCTCACTCTGATAAAGGATTATGCTCACCCAAAAAGTCTGCATTCCCAAACAGTACCTCGCTGAAACGATACGTGGATTTTGCTCAGTGTAGGGCTGGGTTAATTAACGAATTCTTCCGTGAGGTCGGAAATATTGCCATGCAGTTCTGAACTATGGGCAACTGTTGCGTGTATAAAAGCCAAGCTGTGGGCCGAACTGAAGGGACCAAAATCGCTAGTAATACAATAAATCAGCAGTGAAAGCTGTTGGAGGGCTGACAAGTGAATGCTTGAAGTACGAAAGTACGAAAAACAAACAATAACCTGTTGACTAAAGCACGGAATATTTCCTGGTTTGTAGGCATAAAACACACAGTTCTGTACTGAATATAATGAATTCATTGAACACTTAATAAGCCCTTTATCTGATGTTTTATTGTATTCGATGGTGACTTCAGTAATTTTCCGTGCCACCATATTTGATTAGCTCTTCTGACATTTCAAGTATTATTTGATAGTCTTCCCTAAAAAGATTTCTTTTGGTGCTGTGGAGTCTTTCTATTGAAGATGCATTGAAATACTGCTGTGTTGTGTTAATTATGTTGTTGATAAACTGCTCGTTCCTTTCAAAACCAGGAAAGAACGAAGTAACTCCATCACCGATGTATCATCCCGTAGTCTGAAAAGTTTTATGTTTATTATTTAAACTTTATTAGGAGACGTCTGTTGACGAAAGAAGTACCTGCATTAGAAAAATGTACAAATGTCAGCTCTGGTAAACAAAGTGGCCTAGTTAATTATAGCTAAAGTGAAATGAACCCGAGTATAGGGAGCAATCTGGAAGACCGACTGATAGCTTAGATACATGATACCTTTGCGAGTGCCAGTATAATAAATGGGGCGGGAGTTGATTGAGCGGCTGCTTTACTAAAGAAAAGGGCAGAGAAGCACGCTCAAAAAAAAAAAATGGGCAGAATCGCGCGCAGGCAGGATTCCCGCCAAAACAAACGCTTGTGCCACTACTATCATAAACACTATGCATCACACATTGGATTCTAATCACATTGAAAAACAAAGCTAGAGTACTTCGACTTTCAAAAGGTGAAGAAGTGTGGACTGAGCCAGGGATGAGTCTCCAAACCAGTCCAAAGTTTCCCTGTATCCCCTTTTTGTAGACGCTGTCTCGAACACTGGCGCCATAGTAATCATCTGTCATTTGCCCACAGATTTAAGCTATGGGACAGATCTCAGCTTGTGTGACATTCGAAAGATACATGTAAATAATGCATGTCTAGCTTAAGACTTGACTTTTTTCCCCGCTTCAACTGGCGTTCAACCCCCTCAATCCCCCATTTAGCATTGACTGCAGACGATGCGCGCATTTTCGGTGGGCTTACCTATTCTCCCTCATCTGAAGAGGCTCCGGTAAAACAGAGTCTCTCAGCTCAAGGATAAAGTAAACACATTAAAACTGATATGGATTAGACGCCTTCAATATTTTTGCCGTCCAACGATGTGTTTATTCGCCTGTGTACTCATAATATTTATGCATCCAGCACGGGCCTTAGGAAACGCTCCAGACACCGCCTTGTTGCTGCCTGTATATTGTCCGATCGAGAGTTCGCTGACGTTTTTCATTTTAAGGCGATGCATAAACTGAAATGGAGACAGCATTTTCACTGAGCCAACCATCTTCTTAAGATAGCAAACGTGAACAACGGAAACTAATGTGATTTTGTTTTTCTATTATGAAGACGTAGCTTTAACATTAGACCTACAAATATTTCAAACCGCAAACAGTTTGACAGACAGTCAGACGTCCTGTTGGTTTGGCTTGACTCTGTCAGAGAATAACAGTAGCATCCTTTTACTTATGTTTTTCACTTTTGGATGGAGTTTGTCATTGTAGACAGAGTTCTATGAACAACCACGAAGAAAGATCTGACCACCTTTTTTCAGTACTTTAGCTTGTCATTTGGTACAGGGTTTTAATTAAACTGGAAAGGTTCCTAATGAGTGCAAACTCGTAAGACAAGGCAATACAGAAAAAAATGAATGTTTACATGTATAGATTTTAATCAGGTTTTACACCTTTTAAAGACTGGACTCCCTGACACAGCAAACATCCGTGGGAACGGTTAGTAGCCTTGTCAAATAACAACGCATTAAATGAAACGCAGTAAAAGAAGCAACACGCAGAGACATCAGTCTGCTTGGCTTGAACGTCTATGTCTTATTAACATTTTGTGATTAAGGGCACGCTAGTGATGCGTGATATAAAAGGCCGCTGCTCTACTGGCCTAGGATGCCGGCATTTGGACAGCATTGCAGATTGAAAGGAGACTACACGGATGGGTTGAGGTTAGAAAATAATATCACCCCCCCCATCGATCACAATGGGTGCTTTTTAACATCTATTGCAGTCTGGCAATAAGCAGCAAGTCTTTAAACTGACATGACTCATCATCGAGTTTTGACATCCGGCCGTATCGTGGTGCCCCAAGGGACCTCTCTTCCATACTGCTCCCATAAGCTCGAGAACAAAAAAAATGGTGCATTTAAAAAAAAAAATACAACGAGTTTTGTGTTTGAAGTCGGTAGAGTGCACTTTAGTTTCAAAGATACACCGTGGTCGAGTGATATGCAAATTAATCCATTTGCTTTCACTTCATAACCTCGTCAGCCGAAGCTACGCGGAAGCCAAAGTATAGAAAAGTCTCCCGAAGGGCCGGGCATTGTCCAAGTGCCGAGTTCCCAAAACATACGAAATATTTTTTCCCCATCCTGATGTGCGAGCCTCACGGTACGGGTTTGTGGTGCCAAGCGAGCGATTGACATTACAGCGACCGGCAGTTCCCTCGAGCTGTGCGAGTAATTGTCCGGGCATTGACCTACACGCGCCAACATTCTCGTCCACTTAAGCCTGGACCGCGGTGTTGATTTATCTCTCATGTTAGCCCCTAAGCAACCTTGTAAAAAAGCTTGAATATATAAAAGAAAATAACTTTGAAAAAACGACGAACAAAAACACACCAGCGATACACAATTTGGTATTCTATGACATTTGTAGTTGTGGATATCTGGCAAAACACATTTTGGCCAGGATGACAAACCGTTCACTCAGCACCGACCAAACACGGGAAAATGTCAGATTGCTCTTAACTGTTTTCCCCTTCGGTTTCTCGCAGTGTTGGCGCTGTACGTTCGAGTAACTCACAAGGGTATGGTATGTTTCATCTCTCTACTAAATTGACTCTCGTCAAACGGGGAATTAAAGCAACCTTGTCCCTTGATCACACCGGTGATTGAGACTCCTGTAGGCCTAGACATCCGCTCTGTCTATTTTGTTGTGCAATTCAGTGACCAGGAATTTGCAAAATAAACCAACGGTGTAGAAACCTGCGTTCCAGCCGGATCAGAAGACTATAGTGAAACAACCTCTAAAAAAATTGAATGGTTGAGCCTGAATGAAAATCACGATAAAAAGAGAAATTGATGAGAAGCACGAGTGCCTAAAGTGGATTAGGTTGATAGAGTCAGTTGACGCAACGGTACTCTTTTTTTTTCAACCCTGCCACCCGCGTCCTGACTACCCCGGGCCTGGAGGCAAGCGGGTCCTCTTGTTTTTAGTCCCTGCTTGATTCTGAAGCTTTCCCCTTAACTATCGGGTGAGATGTGTCCCCTCTGTTTTTTCAACTATGTATATTCAAGGGTCCACGTAGGAGCTAGGACTCTCTTTGGCAGTATAGCCTTCTTGAGATTTTATAATTAAAAAAAAAAGAGGTTGTAAACACAGCGCTTTATTTATTGTCAGGGAAGATTGCCGTAAACTTTAAACCAAAATCGCTGGGATTACTCTAGTTACAAAGCGCTTTTTGATAGATCATGAAAAGAAACTTCCCCTTTACAATCCATTTTGTCTGTTAAGGTAGGTGTAGTACTTAACCGCGGAACTCACGGATGGCGTGGCTGCACGTTCGCTGCCGCAATCCCCGCAAAATCTATCGGGGAGAAATGCATCCGATTGCCAGAGGCTCTATGAATCATTTATAACGGCTGTTTCATGTGGATCTTTGGCTTTCTGATTATATTACAACGAAAGAACAGTTCTCAAAAGGTATACCTGTAGCCGCAACAAACCAATAGTTCCCCAATCAAGAAACAAAATATTGACTCGGTGCACTTGTTAACCGTTGAAAGTGCTTCAGTCTTACTGGTAACTGGGGCATTACCTTTACAATGCAGAAAATAATGAAGGCACGTATTTCATTTTCGGCAAACCAGAAATACAATTAGTTATGACGATTACAGTTACCATCTCCATCCATCTGCGTCTCGCCTGCATGACTGACTGTCCCATCATTTTGTAAACCGAGAGGCCTGAGTTCATTTATCAAACTGCGCAGGGTATTTATACGGATGATATGTTTGTGCAGAGGCATTCATACGTTGGAATCATGCCTATAGTGTTCTCCGTAATTTCAACGTTGTAGTACTGGGTTTTGCCCACATCACTTTACTAGTGGTTGTACCAGGAGTATATTCCGGATATTTTACGTTCCAATCCCGCTCTTGTTAGGTGTCGTTATTAGTCAGGTTGGCGTAGTGGTTCTCTCTTCGCCTT